TGTGTTTGTTCTTTTGTTACTGTGGCTGACTTGATCCATTTCGCAGCCAAGCTTGGGTTCAACTTTTTGCTCGACCGCTCGGGCAAGCTGTTGATGAAGAAGAAAGGTGTCTACAAAAAGGATATCGTGATGAATCCTCGTGCAGCTTGGTGCATGTTGGTGATGTTTGGGTGATGCTGTTATGTGATGGGGGTAGCTGCAGCTGCTGTCGCTGGTGCCCAGGCATTGGCGGCGGTGATGAAGTCCTCGCCGGGCAGACGTCGATATTCTGCACATGTCATTGCTCATGGCATATTGCATTGGTACTCCAACACCAAGCAACTTCCTCGTGGCATTTCTCCTAACAGTGCCAGTGTACGTGATTGGGCACTTCGTACTGGTGCTGCACTTCGAAAGTTAGTTCCGTCCTTAGAGCTGCTATCTGTATTGTGTATGTTTCCAAGTTAAGCTCCCTGTCAAGAATAGGATACTACGAGTCTTGGAAAACCAAGGCTACGAAGATGAAAGAACTATGCCGCCGAACAGGTAATTCTCACGACAAGGGCATTCAAGAGCTAAAGCAGGAAGTGTTGCCATTCTTGCCGCCGAAGAAACGCAGCAGCTCCAAAACAAAGAACCCTGAAACTTGGCAATCCCATAATTCCCATACCATCCTGATCTGCCTTCAAATCCCTCAAGAATCCAAGGATGCGGACGGCTCAGATTCTGAGTCCTCCGAGCTCGAGGAGTCCGAGGATGAGGTCGAGAGCAGTCTTTCCAGTCGAGTGGAGTTGGAGAGCCTGAAAGTTTTGAGCACTTTGGAGACACCAGCTGCTGGGGCTTGTATATATAGCTGATCTCGCTGCACTGTGATTGTTACCAGTCGTCCGCCGACAATATATCCGAGGCACGCAAGCACAAGACCGCTACGCTGCAGACCCCAAGCCCACCGAAGTCGAGTGACAGCATGACCCGGCTCCAGTGCCCTACCTCAAATTCTGTTTTCAATGTAAGAGGACCCCACAACTCACTCGGAACTCCCCGCATGCGCTTCAAGGAGCATCGTCGCTCTCACGAAGAGTGCCGCGAAGAAGCCTGATGAGGGCAGTGATCGGATTGGCCAGGTGGTTTCGAAGCTTCGGGCGTCCAAGGTCGAGCCTTGCAACAAGTTTGTGCTTCCGGGTGCTGTGCCCTTCCTGAAACTTGATGCTGTTGTAGCAGCTGCTGCTCAGTGCCTTTCAAGGTTTCCATATTGTGATACAGAACAAACACTAGCAACCCAAAGCTCGGGACGTGATTCAACACTAAACCCGCGCACAGCCCTCATCCCTAATTTGTTCTGGTCTGGAATTGTGGTCCTAGTGTTATAAATGGGGTTATCAGGATTTATGGGGTGTTCGGCTTTACTGGTCTCTTAGGGTTTTTATGTGGGGCTTTGGGTTTTGGGTTCATAGGGTTCCTATATTGAATTGTGCCCTCAATTCTATCTGAAGAAAGTTTTAAGAATATCTATATATATATGTGTAGTCATGAAGCCACGCTATCCTGAATGCAAGGTGTTGGAGAGTCTCAAATCTGTGGCTTCCCATACCGTGCCGTTTTTGCCCAAGAAGCAGTGCCTTGGCTTGTGTAGTTGTGTGTTTAAGATGCAAACTTAGTGCACACAATTTGGCTTGAAGTCCTAAGGTACAAGAACGACGATGATGATGATGATGGATCTGATCAGGCTGAGGAGAAAGCCTCTGGGTCCAAGAAGACCAAACGTTGCAAACGCAAGAGCACCAAACGCAAGAGCCGTAAGGGTGGTAAGAAAGGCAAGGCCAAGGCAAGTGGCAAAGGCGAGAGTAAGGAGGGAGCCGTATACAAGCCTGGTGAGTACAAGAAGATTCGCCAAGACTTTATCAAGGCCAAGACGGAGGCCCTGGGTGTGAAACCTCGCGAAGCAGGAAGAATGTGGAACGAGAGTGCAGAGCGGGCAGCCTTGATGTCTACTTTGTCCAGATCAGAGCAGGTTCGTAGAAGGTTCCTTCCGCCTCTGAACCCCAGGGGAAAGAGGGCCAAAAAGGCCTAGCTTTAGGGATCTGCACGCGAGCTGTTTCGATTCATATCTGAAGCAATATGTTAAAGGCAAGGCACCGATGGGTGCCAACACAGGCGAGCCAGTGATGTCTGCAGGATCCTCGATGTGCCTTGGCTTTGCCAGGGTCTACAAAGTTGTTTAATAGGCGCTGTCGCCCCAGTTGTTTAGCGGGTGTTCTGTGGTGCTGCCACACTACGCTTAATTTGTTGCACACATATGCAACCCTAATTCTCAATTCAGACGGCTCAGAATTTGTGTGGTGCTGCCTTGAACAGAACAAAATAAGATTCAGACATGAGCATCGTGTGCATCATGAGCTGCATCTGCACCTGTGCCTGTGTGTCTTGCGTGTGCCTGAGTATACAGCTTCTTCTGGAGCTGCTGGCTAAAGGATTTTGCTGCGAAGCTTGTCTAGGGCTACCAATATGGTAGTGGCCGAGCTACTACAATGGGGAAGCCCTTTGCCACTAGTGCTCCTGACACTGCTGCTGCAGTACCACCCGCGCTTGCATCACAAGCAGGACCTGAATGTCACTGGCCTTGAACCCTGAACTCGATCCCTCAGACTATAGGATGCATTCTCGATTACTATTGAACCCAAGCCCGAAGCCCTAAACCCCTACCTAAAGCTATATTCCTCCGCGCATCTCGCCGCAGGATTATGACTTCGTGGAGCTCTTCTCTGGTGATGGGGAGGTGAGCAGCAAACTCCGGCAGGAGCATGTCGTGATGCAACCTTGAGTTTGTGGGGGCTTGTCTATGTGTGTGGCTGTGGGTGTTTTCTTCTGAGATCAGGAGGGTTTGGCTGGAGCATCGTTGGACTTGAAAGACAACCCCACGGCTTTCGACATGACTACGGATGTGGGCTTCGCTCTGGCTCTCAATTCAGTACTTCGGCTTCGGGCTGGTGGTGTATTGGTGCTGGCCATATGTTGTGAGAGCTTCTCAATTATGCCCCTTGGTTTTAGGATCTGTGTATGTATTAACTGTGCAAAATAGCCCCTCCGAGTCCCTAGTCCTACTACTACTGGAGCTAAGGAGTCGAAACACTTCAGACCGCACGGTGATACATCCCCATGGAAACACGGGGCTCGACTTTGTCAATAAAGGGAACCTGTTACTGGCACGTGCTGTCCTGTTGCTTCTGGTGGCGGCATGCAAAGGGTGTAGGTTCCTGCTGGAGCAACCGGCACAAACCTGCCTTGCCGACCTTCCCCGATGGAGCTGGTTTGTTGATCGAGTTCATGTTCCTAGCCCACTTTAATTGGTTTGTATGACAGACCGCTATATCTACACATAGAATCCCCAGTGCATTCTTATACCATCCCAGGTTCTGCGTGGTTACTGGTACATGGGCAAGTTTGGTGGGCCTTCTCCGAAGAGGCATGTCGCCTGGAGTAATGACGAGGCCTTTATTCGGGAATTGATCGCCCGTGGTGGCTTTATGTCTGTTTCCGAGCGCAATGCTCTAGGGACAACCAAGCTGGTCAAACGGGGCCACAAGAATGGGGTGCCGACTTTCACTGGATGTAGAAAGCTTCTGAAGAACAGCCAGTCCCTCGATTGCAGCATTACATCAAGAATTGCAGAGTCGTGATTCTTGCATAACAATTAAGCAAATTCTCGATCACCCTAGGCGCTACACAGACCGATTTGGGCATACGATTGTGGATATGTTTCGAAGCCGCCAAGGAGCAACTCGCCTTTTCAGCCTCGGATGTCTCTCGATAAACTAGTTCTGCCTGATGATCATCTGTGTGTAAGGTGGAAGTGGCTGGACCCAAAGCCCCCCGGAACATCGATTGCTGTCCTCGCTTCTCCGGCTGTGACCCTCAGAAGACTGCCCAAGCTGGTGCTATTGCGAGTCTGCAGGATAGGACGTCACACCAACATCGCATAACGGCTCCACGGCACAGTTTCTCACACACGGCCGCACTGTCAGCAGCGCGAAAGTTAGAGATCACTGGCACTGGCTCAAGAGGGGAAAAACTGCAGTTTTGCAGGTCCTGGTGCCTCGAGTCTGGTGGCCATGCATCAAAGATTTACTCCCACGGGCGGGAAAGAGCAGATGTAAAGCTGCCGGGTGGGACAGCTCAGAAAGAATTGCCTACATGGTTTGAGGCTTGAGCGGCGAAGTATGCGATGCCTGTTCTCAGGTACACCGCTTCCCTGCCTACGATTTTGCACATCAGGGTGCTCAGAACGACCCATGCCTCACAAAACCACTGCGCGCAGCAATATGGGGTTCATTGCTGTCCTCGCTTCTCCGGCTGTGACCCTCAGAAGACTGCCCAAGCTGGTGCTATTGCGAGTCTGCAGGATAGGACGTCACACCAACATCGCATAACGGCTCCACGGCACAGTTTCTCACACACGGCCGCACTGTCAGCAGCGCGAAAGTTAGAGATCACTGGCAGTGGCTCAAGAGGGGAAAAACTGCAGTTTTGCAGGTCCTGGTGCCTCGAGTCTGGTGGCCATGCATCAAAGATTTACTCCCACTCACCCAGCACTGGCGGCGACCGCTGCGGCGGGAAGCGGCCGCCAATTTAACTTGCCCCAAACCATCAGGGATATTGGAGCTTGCAAGCAAAAGAAGCCCGAGTAACCCAATGCCCAACAGGTCTGCACACGGAAGTCCGAGAGACCGCGCAAACCAAGACATGAGCACCACGAGCCACTCAGCCTTCAGCTTACACCACCTGGCGTGCACCCGTAGTAACAAGCGCCAGGGTACCCACTGCCACATCACCAGCATCTATAGCCCGGGCAATGTAGATGGACGAACGCTGCTGACAACTGTACATATATAGATAACCAAATTCGAATCAAAAACTCGTAGCTGATGTCATGGTCCCAATGCACATCATGCCAGGGGCCCAGAGAAGGCCAGGCAGAAGGAACCTTACCAGCCAGAGCGGTCGACCTCAGCCTGTGGCATCGGTCACTGCCGCGACGGGCACGGCGTCACACACGTAGGCACTCTTTTTGCTTTGGTACACCGAACTCCTCGCGATGGGCTGTCAGATGGATTCTCGGCAGAAGGAACCAAAACAAGGTGCACCTGTAACTCACCTGCAAGTTCGAGCGCGGCAGCTTTGCGAAGAAGACGATTCAGCTGTGTAGATGATCTCCCTTTCGCGGCAGCACCAAGCCAAACTGCACTATCCACCAGCACGACAGCACGAGTGCGATGCCGACGACGTGATCGAAGGAACCATCTGAGCCACAACACAAAAGCTTCGCCCTCCAGCACATTTATGTGTGCAGGGTGTCGCCGTCGGATGCTAAAAACATGGACGAAGTCATCCATGCTAAGCTCAAGGTGGTGTGGGTGACCATGTCTGTGTGTTCCAACGTCTTCCGCGAAACCGCCATCCAGGATGACGTAGGAGCCTTGCTTTTCCGAAACACGCGCCAGCCTTCGGACCATGCTGATCGGAACCTCAGCAACACTGGCCCCGAAGCCATAATCAGTGCTGGCGTCAGTGGCCGATACCAGCGGCGCGAATGGCCTGCGTAAGTCCACTCTCCAGAAGACCCCCAGCAGCAGACCCAAAGCCAGCTCAAACAAAACAATGGCAGGCACTGCCTTAACAGCAGTGTCAAATGGGTCCCGCACAAACTCGTAGACCTTGTCGTAAACGGCCAGCTTGCAACGGCACAAGAGGTCATACCATTGCTGCACCCCAAGGAGCTGGTGAACCTGTTTCGGCGAAGCTTCCTGTCGCTGTAACAAAAACAACAAAGAGAAAAGCATCGCCAAGCATCTGGAAGGCGGCACGGCCAAGTGCACACCATCCTCCAGCTGCACACCCACACAGGTCGCAGACAGCTGGTCGTCCACGTCTTTGGAGGTGTTGCGCAGAGCACGCCGACGCTTGAACTCGTCGTCCACGAGGCGCACAGTCTTCAAAGTATGACCAGGCCCGGCATCACTGAAGACCATGAGGTCGTCGGTAGCAGCAGCAAAAACCTGTTCGAAAGACAACGGCGTGGCAGTGTCACAAGACAGAACTTGACTCTCGTCCAGACCACTGCTTTTGCAAATGTCCAGCAACACTTCTTGTGCCACATACGAACTCCAGGAAAAGCCCATTGGCCATGTCAAGCTTACCGGGAACAGCTGCGAAGCATCAAGTGACTCGCCTGGGAGTAAAAAATGCTCAAGCTCGTCAAGACTCAGGCCCCCTATGACGCGGAGCTCCTCCACGGTGACCGGTGGGCGCCCCATCCACCGCTGCAACTCCGAAGGCAAAGAGAGCTGGTCGAACCAACAGCTGGCATCCCGCTTGCTGCAGCGAATGTGACCATGCTGTGGGCACTCCAAGAGGGCCAGCGCAGTGGGCGACGCCAGGTGACGCGGTTTAGGCGGCGGTTGCGCAGCAGCAGACACCCGTCGACCGTGCCAGACGGCACGCTGGCGACGGCCACCAGGTTTGCCCACGGCGAAGACTCCTCCGCCTGCTTTGACCGTGTTGACAAGGCCAAGCTGCTGTGCACGAAGCTGCCGCGCAACCAATCTGACATATTCAGGCCGTTCTTCGACCAGCACTTGTTCATAAGCAGCCAAACCATCTGGAGCACCTCGGAACATGGTGTCCTCGCTATGAATGACTTCTTGAACACTGGCAGGGAGGCACGACGTCGGGTCGCACAAGCCAGCAGCCTGAAGCACGTCAACTCTGTCAGCACACAAGTTTCCGATCTTCGCGCCACCAGGTCTTACAACGTCCAGTGGCACCCAGTCAGGTAGGAAGGACTCCCACGAACCTGCAGCCAGGCTTTGCAATCGTTCTTCGAAATCGAGCGCCTTGCTAACGATGCGGTGCACAACATCAGCCTGTGCAGCTGTCCTACGAGCGGGTCCAGAGCTGCCTGCTTTTATGCCGTAACACCAGTTCAAAGCCCCGATGATGGCATTGATGAATTGTGACATCAGGCCCCATCGCTGTAGGCTCCAATCTGAAGGCTTGCACTCCGAGGCTTCCAGCTGAGACAACGGGAAAATGTCACGCTGCCGACCCTGCAAAGAGACTCGCTTTGAACAAGTGGCGGACAAGAATGTCCCGAAGCTTCCCGTGGCATGTGTCACCAAGTGTGCAAAACGGAACAACAGCCAAAGCCTGTCACTCGGAAGAGCCATGTGCTGTTGAGATCGCCATTGCAGCCAGTTGACCCTGCGAGTGCGAGCTTGCCTTTGGCTAGCAGCAGACCGGTACCTCCGCTTCTTTTGTGCAGCAACCCCCTTCCCACTCATGGCTGGGGGAGCTACAGCTCAGAAAGAATTGCCTACATGGTTTGAGGCTTGAGCGGCGAAGTATGCGATGCCTGTTCTCAGGTACACCGCTTCCCTGCCTACGATTTTGCACATCAGGGTGCTCAGAACGACCCATGCCTCACAAAACCACTGCGCGCAGCAATATGGGGTTCATTGGAGCCAGAGCGATTACGAGCTGTTCCGAGATCATCTACATGAAATGAAGGATGACCTGTGTCAGGATGTCGCTTGTTCTGAATCGTGATTTCTATTGTTTCGCTGGTCGCTCACTTAACTTCCGCTCTTGCTTTAGCTCGCTTTCTCTCTCTCTTTCTCTCGCTCTCTCTCCCTCTCCCTCTCTCTCCCTTCTCTCTCTGTCTCTCTCTGTCTCTCTCTCCGTCTCTCTCTCCGTCTCTCTCTCTCTCTCTCTCTCTCTCTGTCTCTCTCTCTCTTTCTCTCTCTCTCTCTCTCTCTCTCTCTAGATCACTCTCTCGAGATTTGATTTCCCCGCCAAAAACAAACAAAGCTGCAATACTCGGCTGCCTCTCGAGGCCAATTTGGCGGCTGTCATCCGGTACGTTGGTGGCTGCAGACAGCTGAGCTGCACTGGCCATTGGGAAGCTTGGATCTATATGGTGAATATACTAATATGTATATTGGACACTAATATATATTTATATATACTACTAATATATTTTACTGCCTCTATATGTATATTAGTATATTGTGACTACTGTTGCTTAAGCAGGTTCTCGCAATTCACGGCGTTCACGCCGAGCTCTCCTTCAAGCTATTTGGGTCTTGGGTCGTTTCATTTGTAGGCATATATATTCACTAGTGAGTTGTTTTCCAGGCTGTTCTCGGAATTCTCGTTGTTCATGTGTTCGTTCTCGGAATTCTCGCTTGGTTCTCGTTCAGTTGTGTGTTCTCGGAGTTCACGGTTGGCTTGGCACCAGAGGTCCATCATGATTCTTAAACTCCTGTGCCCATACCCTGCAACCTCACACAATTAATTCTGTATATCCCATACCCTCAACCCGAAACTCCATAAGCCCCAAGTGCATATATAGCCTGTACACAACCAGGAACCCATTAATCTCTTATAGTGTCTCACGGGGTGTGTGCATTGCTGGCAGGGCTACTGGGTATCACATATATGTATATATACAGATGTATATTAGACTTTTAACAGCTAGGAATCTCAACACATGACATTTAATATGTGCTGCAGGGTGTGTCCGGTGAGACTAGTATATAGGTACAGGGGCAGAGTGTGGTCAGGGTCGAAAGTCGAATAGATGTGTACATATACTATATTACATACTGCATCCCACATATCAATGGCTGCCGGCAACTAAGGGCGAGTTGCTGCTGAAGATTCGAAAGCAACCGGCTGGCAATTGGGTATTGTTTGCTTCGTCCTATCTCTCCCTGGATTCACCTGGATCTCCCTGGTTTCCCTTTTGTCTGGCTTTGCTCCGAATTAGAACCTTGCAAGTTCTTTGGGCCATCCCCTCTTGCTCTCACCTCCAATCTCTCCCTGAAGTATGTTCCCCAAAAAGCTTAAGGCTCTGAACTTCACTCTCATGTTTCTTGAAGAGAGAAGAGACAAAGAGACGGAGAGAGAGAAAGACAGAGAGAGAGAGAGAGAGAGAGATAAACAGAGAGAGAGAGAGAGAGAGGGATATATGGAGATTTTAAGCCGTGAACAAAGTGTGCCCCGAGCAGGAGAGAGAGCCAGATACAGATAGATATAGAGAGGGAGGGAGTGGATAAAGAGATAGATAGAGGAGAGTCCGGGGGAGAGGCAGAGAATGAGTTCAAAGTAGCGAGGCATGCTCGAGAAATACATACCAAGGCACATGGTGCAGGAGCCCGGTGGTGCACAGTTCCTGGCTGAACGGCTAGCAATGATAGCTGCGAAGCTTTCTGCAGAAGCATAGTACTATTCATGTTGTTGGGGCAGCTGAGCACTCATTATCTGTTCAAGGCCATTCGAAGCAGGTTTGGGGGTCTTTACACCAAGTATAGTCCTTCTGTGCTTTGGAATGATCCGTTCTCGCACAAGAAAGTAAGCGTGAACCAGCGTGCCCTGCAAGATATATAGCGTGAAACGCCAGGTAAAAAGCGTGAACGGCGTGAATTCCGGAAATTCGTATTTTCTAGGTGCTCGATGCTTCATAAAGAGGCTTCTGGCATAATTCAAGGCTAGTGGTGCCTGGTCTGAGGTATATCACATGCTCAGCCCTCTAATTACAGTATCAGTGAGATCCGAGCGCTGGTGCCAAAACATTGGGATTGGCCGAATCATGTTCTAATACTTCAAGAATCCAGAACAGCTGTGATGCTTAATGTAAACTCTATATGGCAGGTCTGGGTCGGGATGTTCATGTGATAGTTCTGTAATAGTTACACTGTGCAGAATATCCAGCATGGCTGTTGGTCAATCAGTGAACATCTATGAATCTATGCGAGCTCGGTTTGATCAAGGATTCAGGTCCGCCAGGCCCAAGTGGCTTTGTGATCATGGCACCGGCCCACAGCAAGGCTGGAAGTTCGAGTGGCAGTGCTTCGTCCAGCAAGGAGCGAAGCCAAAAGCTTAAGGGTGCCCTTGCAAGAGGGAACGCCCTGAGGAAGCTCAAGAAAAACCCTCAGGATGAAACCATATCCTTGGATACACCCCTGCTACCGGACAACAACGACATCACACTGGGTTCGCTCATGCAATCCGAAAGCCTCAGCTACGCTCAAGCCATTGAAGTCTTTCTTCAGTTTGAGTTTGAGAATCAGCAAGAGAAGAACAATGAGCTTGAGGATGAGGAGCTTACGCTGCCAGCTGCAGTGAGGAAGCCCAAGGCCAAGGCAGCACCGCCAAAGGATCCCAAGCAGGACAAGGAAACCCCTTCCACCAAGCGCAAGGGCCAGGACCCCGCAGAGAACCCAACAAGCAAGAAAAGCAAGGGCCCCACAGCCGACGCAGCCGAAGCCGACAAGCCAGCACGCAAAACAAGCAACAACTCCAAAGCTGAGGCCCCAACAGAGGCATCGACAACTTGCACTGAGAAGACAAGAGGCAAGAAAAGCAACAGTGCCAAAGCCCCCTCGGAGCCAGTGTCCACAGACCCGAGTGAGATGAAGCAGAAGGAGAAGAAGAACAAGGCCAAGAATAAGACTCCCAAGCCTACAGCTCCTGAAGAAGAGGCGCCCGAAGACACAGAACATCCCGAAGCAGCAGCTGAACCCGAAGCCCCAGCCCCAGCTGTGACAACCAAGAAGCTGAAGAAGAAAAAGAAAGCAGCTGCAACAAACCATGCGAGCTCAGGCGTTACAAGCCAGGACCCTGACACTGCAGAGCATGGGAATGACAAGAAAAGGCCAGCAGCAGCAGGAGCCAATGCATCGGGATCGAAGATCAAGAAGCTCAAGGCACTGGAGGATTTAGCGACAGCCGAGGCAGAAGCAGCCGAGGCTGTTTCGGGCAAGCAGCTAGAGGAGCAGCTAGATGATGATCTTGCGAACATGATCAAGTGTATCGATGAGGCCGATGAGGTGGCCCCTGGAACCCCACCGACCAAACAGAACCGCCGCCGTCACAGTAAGAAGCGCCCAGCCACCCCAAGCGGGGCCCCGAATGAAAGTGAGGCTGAGACCGGTGATGATGGTGATGGTGGTGATCGAAAGGAGGCTCCGGAGGAGCCGTGGTCGCAGGATCGGCAGCCGGATGATCCGGAGCTGCTGAAGACGGGCTGGCAACTTGTTGTCTATTAAGCTTATTACAGCCTACCCCAAGCCATGTACCACTAGTGAGGCTGAAGGCTGCAAGGTTTGATCTAAGTTGATGGGTTCAAGATTTTTGGGCTTCCAACACTTACTTGACTGTGTGAGTTTTCTGTACTGGCAGTTCAATGCATCTGCAATATTCAGTTTACCAGTAGTCGACGACTATATCATGTATTGATTGCCGAACAAGTCCTTTGAATCCCACCAATGAAATGGTACCGAACTGGAAAACAAAGGTCTTGTCTCAGCCTCGAGCTGGGTGAGAAGCAGATCGACAGCAGCAACCCGCCAGTGGACAACGCGAGCACGATCATCAACGAGAATGCCTCGGTGACCGAGCTGATCGAGTCGCTTTTTAGTTGCACTCAGACAGTATATATACACATGCATGTGCGCACGCATGTGTATATATATACACACACATACACATACATTCATACACATATACATATACATATACATATACATATACATATACATATACATATACATACACACACCATAACATAGCATACACCCGAGCAATCTACGACATGCAATTAAGTGCATCACATGTATTAATACCACACGCACATACATACATACATACATACATACATACATACATATACATGCATGCATGCATATGCATACGTACATATACATACACACACACATGCGTGGGGTGTGTTCATGCAAAACACTTATTCGATGTGGCATGATGTATTTTGAGTTGGTTTGCCGTTGATGTTGTGGCTGTTGCTCTTGGGGTCGGTGTTGGTGCTGCTGCTGTTGTGGTTGTTGTTGTCGTTGCTGTTGTTGTTGCTGTTGTGGTTCTGTTAGTGGTTGGTGTTGTTGCTGCTGTTGCTGTGTGCTGTTGTTGGCTCAGGGAGTACGGCTTTGCATGCAGGGGGGGAACATGAATTGTGTATGCTTTCTCACTGCTTTGTGGTTGTAGTGTGCACGAAAGCAGCACAATGCTCTTAAGCCCAAGCAGTACGGTTTTAGGTCTTTGCGTTTATTAGCTTCAGGGCTTGTGGCTCAGGGCTTAGGGATTACAGACTACGGGCTTTAAGGTCTGGCTTGGTGGGGGTTTTGAGGCTTGAATTTCAGGGTTTTAGGAATACTGCTTTGGTGTTTTTAGGCTTTTGAAGGCATCGAGTATGAAGCCTAATGAGGTTTGGGGGAGGGGGTGTTGGGTATACTCCGACATCCCCTGCAATATAAGTTAGAATGAATGCATGGACATAGGATTGTTGCTTCAAGAGCAAGGCTCCGAAATGACTCTGAACTCTCCACACACAACTCCTGAAACGAACCCGACACCCTGTGCCTTGACTTCCCGCAGGAATCTAGTGATGCATATAAGATCTATAAATGGGTGTCGCGGGGAAACCACCCCAATCGAGCAGTCTTGGGCTTATGGAACCTAAGGTTGGGGGCATCGGCTTCGCAGGTGACCTCTAACCAGGACCTTGGGAACCTCCTAGCCATGGTCGGGCAGTTGCAAGCGCAGCTGCAGAAGCAGCAGGCGGAGAAGAAGCAGGCAGAGAAGCCTGCTCAGGAGCCCGATTCGGACTATGATGGTCTAGCTTGGGATGAGGGTCAGGAGTGTGAAGCAGAGGCCGAGGACATCTTGAGTGCACAGTCAGAGGTTAGTACCGAAGCAGAGAAGAAGAAGAAGGAAGCCGATTCCAAAGAGGCTGCCCTGCAAAGCCTCCGCTCGACCCACAACCTGAATCCTGCCCCTTCTGCTGCTGCTCCTCAATAAGTTGTAGCCACGCGAAGCTGGATCGCATGGTTTTCTTTTAAGGGCCGGCTCATGAACAATGGCACAATCACTGCCACCAGCTATCCGAGCATGCATGCCCTGGCAAATGGGACGACGAAGGAGCGGAAGCTTTAACTTTTCATAATCCATGCATGTACTGCTTCACCTAGTGACTCGACCCTCGTATGTTGATGAGGAGCGAGCAGAGCTATTGCGACGTTGGGTTCAGTCCCACGAGAACATCGCTGCTTGCGAATCTTTGGTCAAGGCGACCCGTCGTTCGAATCTGCGGGGGCAAAGAGTGGTACAATTGGTGGCTGTAAAAGACATGAGCAAAGCACCATACAATTTCAGTGAGTCCCTCGGCAAAACCTGGCTAGCGTTGCTACTGCATGCTTTCTGCTGTTTACTGTTTGGCCATGCCTGTATATCTGCCTGCCAAGGAGAAAAATTGCCCACATCATTGCTCACCAGCAGGGAGTGGAGGCTCCCAAGATCATCATTAGCATTGTGTGATGAATTGTTATTGGGGATCTTCTGCTTCCTATCCTTACTGAGGACCGCGATGCTCCAGGCATCGTGGAGGAGACCAAGTACTGGGTGACCACTGCCGAGACAAGGACAGACACCCTGGATGTCTCGCCACCTAGTTGGCACATCATGTGTTAGAGCATCATGAGCATGGCTTTTGTTGCATCATGAGCAAGCTTGCCCAGTCCTGACAGTGTACAGCCAAGGCATGAGCATTCCATGTCGGTGAATGCCACGGCCTCCCCTGATGATATGTACAACATCTTGAATGGCCCCACTGATCCTTCCCTCCTTGCACGCCCGAAGGCCAGTGCAGGTCCGACGCCGCTTTCAGGAGATGTCTTGAGAGCCTACGACGGGTTCAGGGCAGAGCTTGCGGCTGCAGGGGGTGTTGAATCCTCAGCCCCTTCTGGTTTCTTGTTCGCATCTAGGATTAACTTTCTCGTTTCAAGGTGGTCAACCAGTGAGCTGATAGGTGCATATAATGAGGGCCCCCAAGCACAACCTCTTGTTATGTAATCAAGCCCCTTCTGTCGCTCACTTTGTGTCCAAGCTAAGCTAGCAAACTGCACCTAAATCACCCATATCTTATAAACCCCAACTATACCATGTAAAACCCGCAACCCAATGCTTGTGTACTTGCACTCCCAAACTGTATACTCACCGATTGTAAACTCCAGGACCATGAAGCAACTAATATATTCGACCCTATATGAACCCAAGCCCTTGCCAACAACCCCACAGTATGAAGATATCTAGCCCAACCCAGGACAGCTCAAAACCCAGACCCATATACTGCAACACTTAATCTCAGACCCGAACCCTAAACCCATACCACTCTCTGAGGCAGGGGAGGCGGAGCGCGCAGTGTGGTATCGAGGCGCTCGAACAAGTCGGCTGGCAGCCGGGGTGCATCGCAGAAGGTGCCGCTGAATGAGGAGACCTTTCGTACGGATGGGGAGAAGCATGACCGCTGGAGTCACCTAATTGCACATAATGGCTCTATGTTCTCTTCAAAGCTGATGAAGCTAGCTGATTGGGCAGATATGGGTGCGATAATATTTATGTCAGGTGCTGAGATGAAGAAGGAGATCTCGACCATCTCTGGGATCCTGTTGGATCTGCCGGACGATGACCAGCTGAAGGATGACTTGGGCAACAGCCAGACAAAGCTGATCAAGTTGGCTAAGAAGCATCTCGGCTCTGTGCACTCGATAATATTGTCTGGGAGTCTACTACTTTAATCATTTGGACGTCATGGTGATTGTGAGGTTCAAGAACGCTACAACGGGCTCGGAGATGGAGCCCCTGTGTGAGAAGATCTGGGACATCGTCCCTGGCTTTGCAATAGACCCAACATGAATAAAAACCCAAGCAATCCCTAAGTATATGCCTAAAGCCATATTGCACTTTAAGTGCTCAATCTACCCCCAAACCTGTAGCCCTAATAACCCTGAACACCGAAAACTTGAAACAGCCCAGCACCGATATCTAAAAGCATTTAAACCCGGCCGAAAATGCATTGTCTTCCATGGTGTCCAAGGGCTCGGGTTCAACCCAATAACAATGCCCCCAAATGGCTACAGCCCATTTACTCTACTCCTAGGATTCGGACTACTATCTATGACAGGCTAGGAGGTTAAACGCTAAGATAAGCCTCAGATGTTGCTAAGTATCCTATGTTGGCCCTGATTGGATTCCCCATATCCGAGGTCAACGAGCTGAAGATTTTAAAGGGAAAGGCCAAAGGCCTTATCGCCGAGCTCAAGAAGAGAGGGTGATGTGGCAGCATGTGCATTGACATATCGGCCGTGACTATGTGAGCCAGCATTCCGATGCTACTTTTGATAATGTAATACCTAGCACTAGTTTCATGTCCTCATCTGCAGATACTTCATGACACGTTTGATTAAAGGATTGTGCGATGTATGTGGCCTGGCCTATGTGCATCTGCCTGGGTAGCTTCAGTTCTCTGCTGCCCTATGCAGTGAGAGAATGTTCCGACCATGGCATGATCGATACATGCTGTGCTTCTGCGAAGAAGGGGCACCTTAGACCCATGGTGCTGACTACCACGGCAATATGCTGTGCTTTTGCAAAGACGGGGCACCTTAGACCCTGGTGCTCACTAGTGTTCCAAGCTTGGGGAAACCAATCGTGATTCCTGCTGTCTCCGAAAATATACGAGTCTTGCATCGATCGACAGCCGCTTCAATGCCTATATGGTATATACCGATCTCATAGTACAACCTCGCTTGCGCAGACGTGGAGCCGGCTTCGTCGTCCAGGAGGGTGACCACGCAGTTGGACAAACGGAGCCTTGTTAGCAATGGTTTGTGAATCCTATATGAGTAGCCAGGAGCAGTGGCCTGCTCTTTGGTTTGGGGGTTGTGTTTGCCTCAGCTCATGCACATCGACTTGTGTTTTTGATCAGTTCATGTATATTGCCTCCCAAGGAACCCTAGCTGAAAACCGGGAGCTAAGGCTTGCGGAAGCTGTTTGTGAAGGACAATCCTCCATCACACTTGGGTGTGAGCTTGGTGTCGCGGCTAAAATGTGTTTAAGGGTTTCGAGCCTAATTTCTAGGGTATGTTTGATGGGTGCTATACTGCTATAATCTCTGTAGAAACCTCCGGAGGTGATATCTATGGTAGCAATGCCCTGGCTGGTTTTGGGTCGCGGGCTCTGCGCGAAAACGAGTTCCATCAGAGAATCCGAGCTCTGGGTGTTGCTCATCAGTTCGATATTTCGTGGAAGAATGTGCCGGTGCTGAAAGAAATACCTGGGGAAGATGATGTCATGGCTATCGAGCCCTGGCCCTTGATTCTGCCCAGCACCATTGCCTCCTACCAGCACTACGGGGCTCCTATCAATAACATTTATGACTGTATCCTACCTATCTGCAGGGCTTCTGCGCTGGAACAGTTCCTGAACCGGTAAAGAAAACCCAATGTTACTCGCAGACATCCCTAATATACAATTGTATAAATTAATCGAAACTGCAAAATTAAACCACATCAATATAAACCCAAATGCGAGGTTAGAACGCTGCTGTCCACTGGCTATTCATCCTGTTTGGGGCCTTTGGAACACTTGGAGCAGTATTGGACAGAAATGGCCGGGCAGCTGGAGTCACCACCTCTGGCATCGCAGTGGAAGACCACCATTCCTTACTGTTTGTGGGGGGATGAGGGTACCATCAAGAATTCTACATCATGGATGCTTGGAACTCTGTGGCTAGTCGAAGTCTAGCAATAAACCTTTCACGATTTTATCGAGATTGCTAGTTGTAGGTACTTCCACCGCTGCTTTTAGTGTGTTTGTTAACCCTGGCCAAGGATGTTCGACTTGTCGCCATACCGGACCAACAGCAAGGCTTCAAGATATCTCATGTACTCTATCCCAACCTACGCCTACTGGTTTGAGGAGCCTGAACACATCAATGCCACATTGCAAGCAATACTGCAATTGGTGGTTGACGATTTGAACAGTCTGGCCACCTCTGGATTGCAGATTGGGGACGATGCTTCTTGATATGACTCTTGCAAGATGTAATTATCTCTTCAGTAAGAACATAAACATATGTAAATGAAAACATATGGATATCAGACTTTCCCCCATATACATATGCACCTGCATCTTTATCCATATCTACATATCTTGTTCTATTTCTATATCCCTGTTTACCTATAACTAAGCTATATCTCTCCCTATACCTATGCCCCCTGCTATTTTAGGCTATATACCCTATATACCCGATACCTATACCCATACCTACGAAACCTAACCGGAGGTTCGATACTGTTCTGTCAATGGCTGAGGTTTTCTATTTCCGCTGCGTGGCCTACAAAGGTGATATGAAATACCTTGTCCAATCCTTGAATTTGCGGCGACATGCTACAAAGGAGGAGGCCAGTGAACCCGTTACAACCCCCCCCTAGGACTGGCTATGTGAGCTTTTAAAACTAATGCACCTAGGCCATAGAAGCATAGGATTTGGGACCTTCGGGCTATCTTTAGGGCTCCTGCTAGGTTGTACATGCATGCTAACAAAAACGGTGCCTGCATATTTGGCCCTGTTCAGATTTGCTTCCGATGTGCTGCCACCAAGGGCAACCAAGACCTTGCTTGCTGCTACACCGATGTTAGCGACAATGCCGCATGGAGGTATCAGAGCATTGGTCCGATGTGGAATGTAGCTCCGGCGATGTCTGGACTGGTTGGTTTTTCAGAGAAGCTCATTGCTCTAGATTTACTCCATGTCTTCCATTTAGGAGTGGCCCGTGATCTTTGCGGAACAGGATTCAAACTTCTATGCAAGAACCGTGATGTTTATTCGGGCAGCAAGATTGAAAAACGTCTGGCGCAACTCATGAGCGACCTCAAAGGCTGGTGTAAAGCACATGGTCAGGTGCTCAGCTTGACCAAAATGAACAAAGATACGATCAAGTGGAAATCTGGAGAATGTC